CTGCTTAAGAAATGGCAAAGCCAAATCAAACATCTTTCTAGACCTAGGCTCTTCTCTAGACTCCCCATCTTCTGTACTTCCCACTTGCTTGCACTGTCTCAGACACAATAAACAGGACAAGGTAAATAAGAACAATAAATTTTCAGGCCCCAGTAAGCTCTTTGCTTCAGAATAGTAAGATTCTTGTATTTCTGGTTTTCTTTTAATTCTACAAGGGGTAAACCAGTTGATTATCTCAAATATCAAAACTCTTGCCTCCAAGAGGAAAGATATTTCTTAAGGAAAATTCTTGAAGTGAACACATCTGGTTTTTTTTTTTTTCCATCTTAAAATATCACCAATACTCATAAGCATTTACATCCTCTTCACATAACGACTAGTCTTGGGAACACCTTTGCATACATCAAACCAGGTCAGAAAGAGAAAGTCCAGGAAACTAACCTAAAATGTAAAATGACTTGCTCAGGACCACAGGGCTTTTCAGGAGCAGAGAATTCTAGTCTACCAAGCAGTGCCTCCTAGCTGTGATGGTGGCATTGGTAGGGGCCTCCAGAGAAGGCTACTGGGAGTCAGGGCTTGACTTTTCCAAGGGTCCTGGAATAACAAATGATGCAATGTGATACAAGGATGCATTTGAGCATGAAGTTGTGTAGAAGTAAAACTCAGGAAACATAGTCAGAAGAGTAGGGGAAAACTGCAAAGGTTGTTTTATAACCAGTGGAGTTCTTAAGGATAAATTTGAGAGCACAAGGAAGAAATAAAGTGTCCAGGCAGAGGGAATAGTGATTGCCACAGAAGTAAAGTAGCTGTAACTAGACTGTGAGTGTGTAAGACAGAACCATCCAGCCATGTGGCCTTGGCTAAAAGACAAGGATTGCATGTCTACTTGCTAGACAAGGACTAGAAGATTTCAACCTGGAAGTGCCTGGGTCAAGTCTGCATTTTAGATAGATCCCCAGGGCTGTTTCAGGATAAATCCTCAGTGTTGCAGGTGTGACAGGTGGTAGGTGCAGAGGCAGATGGAAGAGACATTAATAAAACCTTTGAGAGACAGCAGCTGAGGGGGTTAAGATTTAAGATACGTGAAATACTGGAAGCAAGGAAGAAAGAGAGGGAGATGTGTTCTCAGACTTCTGGCTTAGGCACAATGTGGGTGGTGATCCTATAAACTGAAGACAGAGAATGGAGGAAGAAGGCCAGGTATGAAAGCTGGTGGAAGTCTGTGAGGGACAGAGTAGTTTTGAGCATGTTGATCTGGAGAATCGGTTGAACGTCTGGGTGGGGCCATCCAGTTCACAGCAAAGGTTCAATGGAGAGGTCAGAACTCGGTATATAAGCTAGGAAGTCATCGGCCATTTGTGGAATCAGGGATATTTTTGTGGAATACAGAAAAGGCAAATCCAGAAAACCCTGACATGACACTAGGATTGCCATTTGAGGAATCTTGTCTCAATATACCCACAGGTGGTGACCTTGAACATTTACAAGGGAGTAGAGGTTGTTGACAAAAGGAAGAGCCTGGCATGGTGGAAATTACTCTCTGGGCAGGGGTTCCAATTTCCTGGACCGTATCACCATAGGGCCAGACTTGACACTATCCAAAAGGATCTCTTCCAGGTTTAATATGCTGTAATTATAAACCTCTCTCTACTATTGTAAATCTGGTAACCAGCACATTTACTCTGGAGGAAAAATCTTACCTTAAGAAAAGGAAGAAGATTTGCCCGAGACTGTGAGTGGAATATCAATGCTTTATTGGCTCTATGTGCCACGCGGTTGCAACTCTCAACTCTCTGATAATGAGGGAAGGACAGAAGAAATTTAAAGATAGCCATCAGAAAGGAGGAATACCCAACCTTTGCATCAACATGGATGGGACTGGAGGAGATTATGCTGAGTGAAATAAGTCTAGCAGAGAAAGTCAATTATCATATGGTCTCACTTACTTGTGGAGCATAAAGAATAACACAAGGACATTGGGAGAAGGAAAGGAAAAGTGAAGGGGGAGAAATCAGAGGAGGAGATGAACCATGAGAGACTGTGGACTCTGAGAAACAAACTGAGGGTTTTAGAGGGAAGGGGGTGGGGACATGGGGGAGCCTGGTGGTGGGTATTAAGGGGAACACATATTGCATGGAGCACTGGGTGCTATATGTAAACAATGAATCTTGGAGCACTACATCAAAAAGTAATGATGTATTGTATGGTGACTAACATAACACAATACAAATTTAAAAAATAAAATAAAATAAAGACATTCTACAGAATGACTGAACTACTTAAACAGAAATGATTTCTACAATAAGTTATGGTATAGATGAGTCAAACTGAGAGAGCTAAATTTAGGGTTTTTAAGGACCCCTCCCCCGTTGATGTCAGAAGTTTCCATGTAACTATAGGGAAGAGAAAAATGCTGATACAGGCTGTATTTTATTTCTCAAGGACTAGGATATTCAACACATCTGAATAAAAATAGCTGCATTTTCCACCCACTAGCAGGACTGGGGTACAAAAGTTGGCAGGGTCCTCGTATCACAAAAGTAAAGTGGTGACACACATAGGAAGATGGCCAAAACTGACAAGGCCTTATAAGGATATAATGCCTGGAATCAGGGTGCCTGTACTGTGGGGACCTTCACCACATAGGGCCGTCAAGCTGAAGCGATCAGTGATCCAGGATGAGGACCTACAAGCACGGAGACAGAGAATGAAGGAGAATCAGGTCATGCATCAGGATACAGGGAGAGGCCATGCAAGCAGAGGGGTTAAACCAACAGCATAGTTAGGCTAAGAGCTGCAGTGGAGAGTCAACACAGAGCCAGCAGAGACAGAACGAGGTTTCTACAGGTCAAGGATGAGTGTCATTAAGTTCTCATCATGGAGTTGCTTCTCCGCATGAATTGTCAGAAACTGCTAGAGTGGGCCCGTTTTGAAGCAGCCTTAATGCCCTTTCCCGTGAACCTGTGTTGCTGTGACAAGTCCCTTTTTGCCTGTTTTCATTGTCTCCGCTACAGGGTGCTCTTAACCTATCCATAATCATGCTATCTATGCATCTCAGTAGAAACCAGATGGCAGGCTAACTATGAAGGGTTGGATGCCACTGCGGGTAGGATGGTAGATCATGGGTCCTTAGGTCTTTCTGTTCTCAAGGGCACGTACCAGTTTAAGTAAGAGGCATCACACTAATTTCATTGCTATGAATACAGGGCTTGTGAAAATCAAGTGTACTTGTGATGTACAAAGTTGTTTGCTGACTCTCAAAGAGAGTTCTTCTGGTTTGGGAATAGTGGTGCCAGAAGGATGAATAATCATTTTGTTAGCTATGCTCCAACACCCAAGTCATGACACATCCTCTCTAGTGCTAGTTGGGCCACTGTAACTTACTTAGCACTGTACCATGGCCATCGGGAACAAGAAACGCCACCTCTGGCTTCTAAGAACTAAAATATTGATGGCAGAGGAGCTGCAGCATGACCACAGGAAGCCAAGAGTCAATGACACACGTTTCCAGGGACAGAATGCTACAGTTGTTGCTCATAAACAAAAGGTCAGAGGAGGAATAATGACAGTATAAGATAACAAGAAAATATTTTTTGCCTATTGGTTTGGCCAAGATTGAAGGGGAAGAAGTTCTCATGCCACTGGCAAGTTGGCAAGAATGTAAGGAAATAAACACTTTTATACACTGTCAGATCCGATCTTTGGGGGGGAACAATTGAGTAATACATGTCAAAATTTTTAATATTCACACTTTTTGATCAGTCTTAACCCTAAGATTTGTCCTCATTATTTAACAGGACAAAGGCACCAAGATGAGTTCAAGGAGGCTCATCACAGCATTTTTATAAAATAGTGGAAAATCGTAAGTGAATTAAATGGAACTGGCTGAAGAAATTATGGTGCATTTACCCATGATGAATGCCATGCAGTCACTTAAAAACGATGGTGTATTCTACCTTAATTGACATAGAAAGAGTGTGACACGATGTTAAATGAGAGAGTAGCTGACAACATTGCACATATAGTATAGATACACTTATAAAAAAGGAATTATATTTCCATATCCATATGTATTCACAAGTACAGAAATGGGAATGAAAAACATTCACTGAAATGTAACAGGGGTTTCCTCTGGCAGTTTTTGGGAGAGAACTCTATGTTCTGATTTATAATTTTTCATTATTTTTGGAGTTTTTAAATGATGAGCATATATTAGTTTCATAATCAGAAAAAGAATAAGGTTACAGAAAAGTAAAATAATAGTGGCCAATGTTTTGGTTACTGAACATGTTAAGAACCCAAGGAAATCAAAGAAATATGAAGAAACTGAAGAGAACTTTTCAGTAGAAGTGACCATTATTCTTAACAGCTCCAAAGTAATTTTTTTAATTAGGACAGATCTAATTTATATATGTATCACTCTGGCTCTCAAACTCAGTGGGTAATAACCTATATCCCAGTTGAAACAAAATGTTTTCAGCCCAAAATAGATAAGGATATAAACCCATCAAAAGTGATAACTTTCAAAGACAACAGGAATTCAAAAAAAGTAAGACAAAGGAAAATGTATAAAATCTACTTAGCTTTTAGGGAAAAAAGAAATCAAATGATGACAAAAATATCAGCTCCAAAAATACCAAAAAAGCTTCAACAGGAGAAAATAGAAAGCAAAGATTGGCATATGGATGTCAAGATTCTAGTGTCAGAGAGGTTTTGAAAATTGGTCGTGCATCACCAATTATATATATCCAAGATCAGTGTGACAGATACTCCCTTCCAAGAGCAATGGCAAGTTTTTTTTTAATGCCCTAAAAATCTCTTTGCAGTGATTGACTGATCGTGTAGCCATAATATGAGATTTTTAAATTCAGTTCATGATTGGTGACCAAATTCTAATGTCGGAAAAAGAAAGGAAAGAGATAAAGTTGTATTAAAGCCACTGTGTCTATTCCCATCTCAGAGGTATCTTACACATAAATGTCTTTTCTTCTCATCTCCAGAAAAAGCACAAAGAAGAAACCGCAGCAATGGCCAGGTTGACAGAATCCATGAGTGAGTAACGTGAAATTTATTTTTTTAACTTGAAATTTATTCTTTATTTTTGGTTTTTAATGGGAAACCATAAAATCATGCAAAAAAAATCTCTTTCTTCGTGATTATCTCTCTCATCTAGGCCTGTGATCACCAAGGCCAATTTCATATATATTATACTGTGCTGACGTTACAATATGCATTACTTGAAATTCTCCTTGTCTGGAGTTGAACTCTGTGCTGAAATTGTTATTCAAAGTATGGGGTTTTATTTGTAGGTCTGTGTTGAGGATTGGGACCCACAATAATTCCAATTAGTTAAAGCAGATATTTCACAGGCTGGGTAACCTAAAGAGAAGAAAGAAAGGTTTGTCACTGTTAAACCTTTCAGGTGTACTTCAGAATTTTAGGATACAATGATTTAAAAATGGAGTGTTTGATGTGGAAGTAGCTGGTAATGATTCAGGTTTGGAATGGATCAGTGGCATAATGCTCTAAGCTCTTCAGTTAAATAAACAGGATACACAAAGCATTTTTAAAGGAAAGAAGAATTAATTATAATAAATCCCTTCTGCAAAATGAGAAATACAGTTCCATGCATTGAAGTTTGAATATTAAAGACCATGTGGATATGAAATACAGACAATGCAGTTTCTTCCCTTTGGAAGTATACATTTTCCTGGTGATATAATTCATATCTGAAGTTACAAGGGAAGCTTGCAGACACTTCTCCGTCATCATTCAGTCCATGAACACCTTATTAAATTTGACCTGCATAGTTAACCATTAACCTTGCCCACATTTAACTGGGCCCCTGCTTCCTCCTTCTGCTGTTCCTCAAATCATGAGGAACTATTAAATCATGAGACTATTAAAATACAAGTGTTCTCCTGTAGCATACTGAATGAATCCCCTAAAAATCTTCCCCTTTCAAGAAAAAGAGTAATGTTAAAAAGATCTTTACATTGCATATCTTTAATTCCTGGCCCAAAACTGTGCATGATTTCATTTATCTTGAGCATTAATTTTAACCATACAAATGGTGATTCCAGGGGCTGCACAACCCCCCCACAATGTACATGCCTTTCTTCCAATAGTTTCTGTATCAATCCAGCCCTATCTCTGCCCCACCCTTCTTCCTACCTCAAGTCTTGCAGATTACAACATTCCAAAGCATTGGTGACTTGGTTTGAAGAACCCAAAATTGGTTCCCTGTAAGGGAAAGGACCTTAAGTCATGGAATGTGCTCTTCTCAGACTGAGAAGGAAATAGTGAGGTGACCAGTACCATCACAAAACTGACAAACCTGTGTTGTCAAACTATGCAGTGGGACCGTGGACAACACCAACTTACTCACAATCCATGGCACATTCTCAGATTTAGCTCTAATCTCTAAGTCCAAAGTCACCAGAACAAAAGACCCACACAAATTCTCCGAACGCTAGAAGGATCAGTGGCCTGGAACACAGCATCACTGCCAATGAATGGAGTCTTGAGTGTGGGAGAAAATTGAACTGCATGGTGTTGCATGTGAGTTGGGATGCTAACAGTTTTCACAATGAGGTCCATGTTAGAAACTGATGTTCTAGTTCAGTGAACTTTTCAACTCTTCTAACTGAATTGTAAAACATTAAGGGCACTATAAGAGTCAATATTTTCAACATGGTCAGTATTTCTGATAAAGGTGGTCTAATTTTTCTATCTCTATGGGATCCTGATGCATTTAAGTTAGAATTCCCCCCCCCCAACACCACCACCACCACTGGACTACTGATTTCTTGAGTTCCGGTTTCAGGTTTACTTCTGCAATAATTTTAATGACTTTGACCCATGAATCTATTGGCTTAAGAGAATTCTGTAAAAATTGAATTCCAAACCCTTGCGTAGGTGAAACGGTGGAGCCATTCTTCTAATTTGCTTTGTCTTTATGAAAAAGATTACATGGGTATGTTCAATGCACAAGGAAATTTAGAGAGTGAAAACAGATCTTAGAATCCTACTCAACATTCCAGTTTACTGACCCTTACAAAGGTAAAGAACACTATTATAAAAAATACCTAATTCTTGTAGGCACCTGCTATGAAAGTTAATCATGCAGTCACCACTAATAAACATTTCATCAAAACTAAACTCATGAATAATGTTACAAACAGCTATACGTTGATGGTACATAGGAAATCTACAAGGAAGTAAATACATAATTACAAGTAGGGAGATTCTATCCGTAGGCTAAGCAAAGAATTAGCATGCAATTACGACACAATAAGTTTGATGGGAACATCAAATCCATGGCCACTGGGGAAAAGAGACATAAACAGAACCACAAATGCCCAGGACACAATGCTCTGAATGGTTTTCCAGAGTCAGTAAACACTTTGCTTGTTAATCTGCCAAGCAAAAGCCATCTGGTTACTAGAACATCTCTATGTTTAACCAGAATCAGATGGAGATTCTTCTCCTATCACCATGGGGGCCCAATGTGATCAATGGGTATGCAAGTACCACAATGGGGATATGGTATCTTCTCCATCTTCTAGACCAGGGATAAGGAGTATTTTTTCTATGTGCCATTAATCACCACCTCAAAAAAAAAAAAAAAATCTGTGTTCATCTACCAATTCTTTAAAAGGGCAAGCAGAAGACACAAAAATGTTAGCAGATTTTTAAATGTTTAATAAAAGGAAACTTCATTTCATCAAAGCAAGATAACTCTTCAAAATAGTTTTATGCCACATTGTTAAAATGAGGAGGGGGCATGAAAAGGAAGAAAAAAAAAACAGAAAGGAAGAAAAATGGATGTGGAGGAAGAGGTAGACAGTAAAAGTAGACCTGAGAAAAATACAAGGGAAAAAGTATCTATGAGAAAGACCCAGAGATGGAGCTGTTAAAAAGGAAAGGCATCAAATCACAGGGAGCAAAAGAAGACAAGTAAGCATAAAGGAGAGGAGGTGAGGAGAGGTATTAACAGAAAGAGGCTTAGTGGGGTCTGAAATTAGTGGACTGCAAACTTGGATTAACCAGTGGTGGGCTTTCAACCCTTCAAAAGCTATTGATTTTTTACCGCTGCCAGTTGACATTTTAGGCTCTGTCTGCATCTTGGAAATGGATATATTCATACTTACACCACCAGAAGCCCAGTTCCAAATGGTGCAAACAAAACCCACTTTGGAAGAAATTACTCTGAGCTTGCCCATCAGTGACCAGCACTTTACTACCCCAGGCACTAATTGAAACTGAGCTGAGCCTGACCAGTGGAGACTGCCAACCTTGTCTATAAATCATCATCTGGTGACCCAAACAAGGAAACCACACGCTGCACTGTGCTGTCAGTAAAGGTGTCATTGGGGAGGGCAGGGTCTGTCCTGGTCACTGGGATCTAGGTCAGACAGTGACGGTCTAGAAATGTCCCAAGGCATGCACATGGCCTGGGGGCTCCAGAATCTTGGTCTGTATGAGGTACCTCTGTATGTTGTGCTTACATAAGTTTCTGTAGGTAATTCACTTCATAATCAGTGCATGCTCATGTATCATTGCCACACCTCGAGCTCCAGTAAACATGTCAAATACAGCATGGGGAGTCTCACCACATGGGTCCATTCATAATGTGGATTATAACCAAATATCCATCTTGTGCATGGTGATGGGGTTGCAAGGATGGAACAGGTAGGGACGCTGGCCCTGTTGCCTTCCAGGCTGCAGGGCCCTTCCCGGGGCCCCCCATCTGGCACTCTGCTGGCACCCCACTCCCACCTCTTCCTGGAAGCAACAGCATGTCAATGCAGTAGCAAATGGTGCCCAGGGCCAGCTAACCCCAAATGCTAACCCAGGTTGACTTCCTCGGCTTCCTTTTCCACCTGCCCACCTCTCTCAGCACATGTTCCCTAAGCATTTCCTCTGCCATCTGTAGGATCCTTTCCAGTCTTCCCCAGGAGCCACCCCATCAGGCTGCACCCACCCTACCCGCCCTGTTGTCTCCGTGGTTGTCACAAACATCACACACCTGCACAGGAAAGACAAGAGCTGCTCATTTTCATTCTTAGATACACAGTCTAGTGCCAACTATGCCCTGAGTAGCTCCAGGGAGGTCCCTCCCAGCCTGGACAGAGACAAGTGGGCTGTGGTTCCTCCCACTGCCCATAACCAGAGCCAGGGGCCTGTTTTGTAGGTGCTTAAAGATCTTAGCTGTCTGCATTAATGCAGAGGGAATTCCTCCTGTGATGAAAGAAACAGCTCAAATTTAGCCCAGATTTGAAATTGTTTAGTGTCAAAAGAAGTGAAGAGTGAGAACCCGCTACAATCACTGCACATGAAATTAGCTCCATTCAAGCGCAGTGTTTTTTTAATCATTTATTCCCTCCTTATGGAGATGCTATCATAACCCTGGCATTGTGTTAAGGTGTGGAAAGACCAAAAAACAGGGTCCCTGCCTACACCATGTGCAGTGTTTTGGGGAGGCAGGAAACTCACTGCCACCATGCAGAGCAGCACATCCTGGCAGAGGCTGCTGGACAAACATTGCCATTTGAAGGCAGATGTCCAGGCAAGATCTCCCTCAAAGGACTTCCATAAAGGTGCCCAAAGGGTGTGCAGATGCCACGAGGCAGCCAGTGGGCATGTGAGTGCCAGGACCTGCACCCAGCACAGGGAAGGACAGAGGTGTGAGGATGTGGCCAGTGGGGGGAAGAGCAAGGTGTCGATGTGGCCTCAGCAAGGAGCTGGGGCAGGGACACAGCAGATGGCTGGGCACATGAGCCAGTCGGACAGTGAACAAGGGTGCAGCTTGGGTTTCTCCTATGGGGGAGGAGCAGCACTTAAGATTTTTAAGCAGATCAGCCTTTTAGAAAGATTGCCAAAGACCTCACTGTGTGCACTTCTGATCTGGGCAAAGGCAGACAGAGGCAGCCAGGAACTGAGACCGCAGACGAGGGCAGATCAGAATGTGTGAAAGAGGCAGTGATCAGAAGTGACAGAGAGGAGAAGGGGGGATGTGGGGATGCAGCATAGGCTTTGAGCTTTGGGAA